CGCCACCCCGGCTGTCCCTCAGCCACATCAGCAGGGCCCATCAGTGCCCAGGAGCCCCGGGGCAGCGCTGCCCGGCCATGGCTCGGGGTCCCTCACTCACCGCCCGTCCCGCCACCGCTCCGGCCCGCCGGGCCCGCCGCGCCCACCCGGCCGCTCGGGGTGCCTGTGGCGGCAGGGACCCGCAGAGACGGCAGGGTGCGCAGGGAGGAAGGACGGGGCCGGCCAACCCCACCCTTTCAGTTCCCCTTTGTTCGTTTTGTGACTCAAAGGCAGCGTTTGTGTTTCCTCCTGCAGGCAGCTGGGCCATGGCCGTGGGGGCGCCAGGCCGGGAGCCTGCCCCGGGCTCTGGGCAGTGCCGGCTGTTGGATGAGTTGGCTGAGGAGCCCTATGTTGCCCCAAAATGGGTTCTTTCACCCAATGGAGCTGATCCCCACCCAGAACCGAGGTATTTTTATTTAGAGTTCTGTGTGGAAAGAGGTTTTGTGGCAAATTCACAAAGCTAGCAGAGCGACTATCAAAAGTTTCTACTGTTTATATGTTTTAGCAAATGAAACATTAATCTCCATTGGCTAGAGGTTACATCATTCATTAGTATTCTATCTTGTAATGTTAATGATTCCCTCAATTCCTTTACTAATTAGGCCACATGTTCATTCATTTGGGTCAGTGGGTTTCTTGGGTCAGTGGTCCGTGAGTTGGTGTTGTGATCTGGAATCTCTCTTATCCACTCCGAGCTGATTCAGCACAGTTGTTGAGTTTGCTTTGCTAGTTACATCCTTGTCTTGAGAGTTCTGACAATCATTATTGTGCTCCTAAATTCTGCATTCTTTGTAATGGTAAATCCTTCTTCCCAAGCCTTGTTAACTTCCACCCAGTCTGAGATCTCTGAAACATGTCAAGCCCTAAACCTTAACAAGGAACTCTATTGACACACGGTTTGTCTTTCAAGCACCTGGATGTCACCTGCACCCCGCAGACCCCGCAGTTCCCCACCCTCACACTCCCGTCCCACACCCATCCTCCCGCCCATGGCTGCTCTCCTCCCGCCGCCAGGGGGCGCCGTGCCCCGCGCGCCCTTGCCCGCTCCTCTCTATGGTCCCCGGCTCCCATTCACTTCCGCTTCCGCTCAGCGCCTCCTCTCCGGGCCGCCGCCGCCAAAATGGTGAGTGCCGGGGCTGGGCCGGGCTCCATCCGCCGCCATCCACCCCGCGGCTGCGCCGGGCCGGGCTCCCTCCGCTGTTATGGGTGCGTGCTGGGCGGCCAGGCCGGCGCGGGGGCTTCTCCATCCCCGGATGGCAGCACAGGGTCCCGAGGGAAGGGGAAGGGCGGGAGCGGGGCCTTCGGAGCGGGATGTGGCGTATGCGCAGCGGCCGTGACCAGCTTCTCTCCTTCTCCTCCAGGTGAACGTGCCGAAAACTCGCCGGACCTACTGCAAGAAATGCGGGAAGCACCAGCCGCACAAGGTCACGCAGTACAAGAAGGGGAAGGACTCGCTCTACGCGCAGGGTGAGCCCGGGCTCGCTCCGGGCCCAGGGGAGCTGCGTGCGGCCCGGGTGTGGTGTGCCCTGCACGGGTGGTGTACATTAGGAACATTTGTATGGCTGGGAAGGACAGCTTGGCCTAAAGGATGTGCTGTACAGTAAAGGGAACTATAAAAATATGAGAAAGGGAGAAAGACTAAGGACGTGTCAGCCCAGAGCAGTTTCGGTTGCCGTATAGAAATGTTTAACTAATTAAGGAATGTGCTCTGGGTGAACCTGGCTGGCTGTGGAAGCACAACTGGAGCCCAGGCTGGCCAGCCGAGGGAGAGCCCTGCTGTGAGTTTAAAATGTTCTCGGTTTCTAAGTCCAGGTGAAAGTGAATCCAGTGGTATCTCTGCCCTTACTGATGTGGATTAATTATGCTAATATCACCTGAGCAGGACTGTATAAATATTTTCGGTCCTTTATGTACTGGCTTTGAGGATTTACTATGAATCACTCTTTGCACAGAACTCTGAATAAATCAAGTACCTTGACCTTGTGTGTCTGTTGGGTGCACAGTGAGGGGAAGATTCCACTTTTGGGGGCACAATAAGAGCTGTGGCACTGGTTCTGCTGGGCTGTGCAGGGATTTAGGCAGTGCCAGTTATGCCTGGAGCATCTCCTCGGTTGTTGCCTGACCAGAGCTGTTTTTCCTGCAGGAAAAAGGCGCTATGATCGGAAGCAGAGCGGATACGGGGGCCAGACAAAGCCCATCTTCCGTAAAAAGGTGAGTGAGTTGGCTCCTCAGGAGCAGGAAACTTCCCTGGCAGCCCATGCCCAGCTGAGGGAGGGTTCCTCAGTGCTCTGCTCTGGCTGTGTTTGGGCAGTGCTGTGCTGGCACTGCAGGTGTCCTTCATCATCACAGAATGCCTTGGGTTGGAAGGGACCATTGTGTTCCAGCCCCCTGCCATGGGCAGGGCCACCTTCCACTGTCCCAGGCTGGCCTTGGACACTGCCAGGGATGGAGCAGCCACAGCTTCTCTGGGAAACCTGTGCAAGGGCCACCCCATCCTCGCAGGGAGGAATTTCTTCCTGCTCTCTAATCTAAATCTCTGTCAGTGTGAAGCCATTTCCCACTGCCCTGTCACTCTGTGCTCTTGTAAAATCCTTCTCCTTATCCCTTGTAAGCTCCCATCAAGAACACAGCTCATCTCCTTGCTGTCTTGTCTCATGGAGATGCTCCTCTTTTGCAGGGTGACTTGGGCTGTGCTGGTAGAGCAGGTTCTCAGCTTTAGTGCTGCAGAGGAGTGGAATATTAGCAGTGAAAGGAACGTTTCCTTCACTGCTTGCCCAAGGGAAGGGCTTGGCAAAGGGAAAGGAGCTGTCTGCTTGCTTGGCTTGTATTTACAGCAGGGAAGCAAACCCCAGTGGGTGGGTTTGTCACTTTGTGTGAATTATTTAGTTCTGCTCATAGAGCTGCTTGGCTCGTTGCTGGGAAGCCCTGGTGTCCTGCTGGAGGTGTACAGGAAGCTTTCCAGCAAGAAGGAAAAATGAAGCAGCAGGTTTTCAAGTTGACTTTGTGCCAGGAAGTGGGGAGACCTCACAGAAAATGCTTCTGCAAGCAGGGTACAACAAGCAGCTGCATTGCTGGTACTCTCTACCTGTACATTGCAATTCTCATTTCTGTTTTTTCCCAGTCAGCATTGTATGGATGCTTGGCTGAGGTTTTTAGCTGGTGGTTACAGCTCTGTCCAGCTGCTACAGCAGCCTCCCAGCTTTGGATTCTTCCCTCTGCAGTCTTTCAGGTTTCATCCAACTTCTGAGTAGCTGCAGGTCTGCACTGAGCCAGTTGTGTCACTGAGAAAGTTTGCCAGTGGTGTTGCTTCCAGGGGTTTCTTTTGCCCAGTTTTCTTCTGGATTTCTCCTGAGCACTGCTGGTCTGTGCTTCCACACTGTAAAAGTGTGAGTTTCTTGCTCTGTTCAGTGGAACAGACTTCTCCAGCATGGCTGATCCCTGCAGGAACCAGCCATGCCCCAGTGAATGCTTTTGCCAGTGCCCTTTTTGTGAAGATACCTGTCCACTTCACTCCTGTACTGATCCTTTTCAGTGGAGGGAGCCTAACTGTGTTTGTAGTCTCTCTCTATGCTTTGGGAACAAACTGAATGTTCAGGAGTGCAGGGAAGAAGCTCTCCCTGAGAGTTTGTCTGCTTGGGGATGTGTGGTTCATTGAAACACCCTGCTCCTCCTCCCAGGCCAAGACCACCAAGAAGATTGTGCTGAGGCTGGAGTGTGTGGAGCCCAACTGCAGGTCCAAGAGGATGCTGGCAATTAAGAGGTGCAAGCACTTTGAGCTGGGAGGAGACAAGAAGAGAAAGGTGAGTTTGTATTCTGTGAGTGGCTGAGAAAGGGGGGCAGTACTCAGTGGTGAATAAACTCACTCTTGTCTCTTTTTTCTTACAGGGCCAGGTGATCCAGTTCTGAGCATCGTCCTGCTCATCGTTATGGACCGTATTAAAGTAATTAGATTGATCCCTTGCTTTTTTAATGTGTTTTCTCTTGGGGTGGGAGCTGTGAGTACATCAACAGGGAGATGCTGCTTGCAGAACCATTTTACAGAGCAGTTTTTAACCTGGCTTTTGAAAAATCCCTGGCAGTAGCTGGGATCTCTTTACTGTGTTTCCAAGAGGTGTTCTGTAATGGGTGTCAGTGACTTCTGTGCATGAACATGCTGCAGGCTCATTTATGAACTCCCCTGAACAGCCCCTGCACTTGGCTGTAGGCCCCTTTTTACAGACAGATGTACTGTCCTCAGGAGCAAAGGCCTTGGAGCAGCCAGTGGGTTTGATACCTGCACCATTAGGCAGGTGCCTAATTAGGTAATTGGGCAGGTGCCATTAGCTGTGGCAGCTCAGAGAGGTGAGGGACAGCTCTGTGCCTGTGGTTGCCCCTGGCACATGGTGTAACAGGCCTCAGCTGCCTTGCCCTGTGCCAACTGCTGCTGGCTCCTCTTAGCATTTTCCTTGAAGGAAGAAGGCCAAGCACAGCAGTGAAGTTTCAAATGGGCAACAAGCAGAGTGGTAGATTGTGGGGACAGCCTCCAGGACAACTTGCCCTTAGAGAGGAACGTTTCTGTGAGTAGGAAGTCTGCTATTAGCAGGTGCTGGGAATGCAATGCAGAGTTCACCCTTTCAGGCAACTTCTGGTAGTGGAAATGGAGCTGGAGGATGGAGAGATGCCTCTTCACATCTTCATCATGACTGAGAGCACTCAGTTACTGAACTGTAAGGGAATCTGTGGTTTTGCTTATTAAATAGTGGGTAATGTGATGGCATTTTCAGATTTGTGTAGGCAGTGGTGGCTTTGGCCTGTGGGGTGGACTGTACAGCTGTATTACATCAGTTTCACTGAGTGCTGTTTCTAGTTACAAATGTCACAAAAATTTACATGACTGGAACAAACTGGCCTGTTTTCTAAACCATTATTTAATTTCAGATACCATGCTCTACTTTTATACACTGCAAGCAAGAAAAAGCATAGTCTTTTAAAGGGATTTTAATCAAAGTGCTTAATCACAGAAGAACAAATCAAGAAATCCTGATTGTATTGTAATCAGAAGATAATATATTTGCACATGATGGTTGCTTAAGTGATTATCCATTTCCTGTCCTGGAGAGCCCATGTTATTCAACCTAAAGGCTGCTGCCAGCAGTGGGAAGCAAGCACTCAGGGATTTCTGGGAGGCAGGATTCATGGAGAAAGGGGACTCCATTGGTCATATGAGGGGTAGAGAGGGAGTTGTCATCTAAAGGGAAGTGACAGCCACTGGTGAGAGATTCCTGGAGTGAGGGAAAACCCTCAACAACTTGAGTCCTAAGGCCTGATAGTAGCTGTCAAGAAAGTTGCTAAGAAGTGCAATGGTTCGTGTCAGTCCCTGAGTTGTCAGAAGATGGAAGTGCATGTCCATGCTCTGAGTCAAGTGTTTGGTTTCCTTAGTGGGGATGGGAGCAGCTTTTCTTGGACTGTGTGTCCTGGTCTGGAAAAGAGAGCAAGGTGGCCAAGGTGTGTTTCCCTATTGTCCCTAAAATGCTCCAGGACAGCTGTAAGGTGCTGCCTGTGCATCCCTTGCCTTTCCTTGCTCGGTAGTGGCAGTGGGTGTAAACAGGAGCTGCCGCCCTGCTGGAGCCCTTCCAGCCCCTTGGAGGAGGAGTTGGGTGAGATGCCAGGGAAAGGGGCCCTGCTGGAGCCCTTCCAGCCCCTTGGAGGAGGAGTTGGGTGTGATGCCAGGGAAAGGGGCCCTGCTCTGCTGTTCACCCTTTCTCTGTCACCTCTCGATGATGGAGTGATGGCAATTTGTCACATTCAGCTGAAGGTTCAGATAATGAATGCCTGAGAAGAAAGGCACCTGCTTGGAAGAAAGAGATGAATTTCCTGCCACAAGTTCAGACAGAGCCTAAGGCTTAGGAGAAGATTGTCTTAGTGCTGCCTATAGTGGCAGGACTTTGAGCAGCACAGTGCCTGTGGGGTTCACCTCCACGCTCAGGGAGGACATCCAGCTGTACACACCACAGTCCCTGCTGGCTGGCAGCACCTGTCGGATGGAGCAGGCTGGGTTGCAGGCCAGCCCATTGCCGAGGAAGGTGAGGGAGAAGGTGAATTTCTGGGGCCCTCCAATCTCCTGCTGGTTCAGCACTGCCACAGCGTAGGCTCGGTCAGACAGGGGCCGCTCCCACAGCTGGAAGTTCTTGTCCTGCCAAGGAGAAAACAAACCCAGGGCTGTGGGAGGCTGAAGTGGTGATCTTCATGCCTGTGTTCCAGCAGGCTTTGGGAACACATGGGCTCCTTTCCCAAACCCTGAGCACTTCTCCATCCCTCCCTGCCCCACTCTGAACCCCCCTCTCCTGCTGTACCTTGGAAAGCTGGTATCCCTGCTTGCCCAGGGGGTCCTGGTTGATGGCAATCACCTCTTTGTTCTGGAGCAGCCACTTGGCCTCGGGGCTGATGCGCCGCAGGTCGTTGGACATGAAGAGGGGAGCGGCCATAATGGCCCACATGGCCATCTGAGTCACCGACTGGTCCCAGCTCAGCCCAAAGTTTCCAATCACCAGCTATGACAAGCAAACAAAAAGTGCCTGGTAACACAACTGCTGGGGACAATCTGGGCCACCAGTACCAGGAAATCACAGGGTGGGACTTCTCTTTGGAGCCTGGCTAGATAGGCTGAGGGCCAGGAGCAGGACCAGCCGGTTGGGGAAAGCAATGACTGCGTGGCAGTTTAGGATGAGTCCCTGGTGGAACTGAAGAGAACTCTTTAAGTGGCTAGGCAGTGTTTGAGAATGCTTTTGGATTCAGATTCTTGCAGTGCTGGCACCCAGGGGTTTTCACTCTGGTGGGAGGGACATCAGCACTTTGGAGACTGTCCCTCAAAGCCACACCTGTGTCCTGAGCTGGTACTGCCTGTGGAGGCTGTGTGACACAAAGATGGTGCTTCCTTGGTACTATGCATAGCTGCATCTTTCCCTTTCCACCCTGGACCTTCTCACCAAGATCCTGATCCTAGGGTCCCATCAGAGCCCTTCCCCTCAATGTTTCTCTCCCAGTTCTCTCCCTTCCCATTCTCAGCCTGCAGCTGAGGGAATGTTTTTTTTGCTGATGCTTCAAGTGGGGTGGGTGTTGCTGTACTTGCCATGTCAGGATCATTCCAGCCCCCTGGCCCAGCTATCTTCACAATGGTGTCCTGGTGAAGTGCTGTCCAGTCTAAGATACTCTTGATGCTGCTCCAGGAGTCATAGACATCATAGAAGTTCCTCCAGTGATTGCAGTACTGTTTGATCTCTGTGTAATTGGGCTGCCAGAACAAGGAGTGTGATTAGACAGAGCACCTGGCTGTACAACAGGAGTGCCAACAAGGCTAGACTGGACCAAAGGTAGCTTGGGGGAGAACCAGGGTAACAACCTTCCATCACCAGCTATCTGAATGATGTAGTGCATGTTGATTCCCTTGAATGCTTTGTGCCCAGTAACTCCACTGTGATACGTTCTAGACAACACTATTGCTCCCCTTGGGAGAACAGTTGTGACCACCAGCTCTGTTACAAAATTACTTCCCAATTTTACTGAAGGTGTGACAAGGCCAGTGGAATTAAACTGTAATATCCCAGTAATTATTGCTGTTTCTTGGGTTTACACCCTTTCATGAGTAATGCATTTAATTCCAGCTGTGGGTGGAGGGCAACGTGTCAATCACAGACCCTGGCTGGCAGAAATTTGTCATTGAACAATGTGGGGGATGTCACAAAGCCTCTCTTGTGGTCCCCAGAGCTGTCTGTAAGGCTGAGCCTGCAGCACTCTGTGTCCAGGAGGAATTACCCTGAGCTATCTGCTAGGCTGTGTGTCTGCATTGCCAATGGTTTGCTGCTTGGCTCCTTGGAGAAAGGAAGCAGATGGATGCTGTGGTTTTTTTGGCATGCTCCATCTGGGCTGTGCCCTCATGCTGCAGAATCCTACTGAATCTGTTTCAGCAGAGCAATGGTTTAGGAATGCTTCAAGCCTCTGGAAGAAAAAGGTTTTTTCCTCCATTTTACAGCCTTGTTCTCTGTCAGAACAGAGAGTAGCAAGTTTCTCAGGATGCTGTTTTGCAATGTTAAATGTTTTCCTCTTCTTCCCACTTGAGCCCCAGGATAAACCTTGAGAGGCATTCCTTACCTGCTGCACGGGCCTCAAGTAGAAAGGCCACTCACAGGAGTACACAATGCTCCTTCCAGTCCTGTTCAGGGCCACAGACATGCGCCTGTATCCTAGAGGAAGAGCACAGACAGAGCTTACACAACCTCCCTGGCCACACAGCAGAACTAAGCCAATGTCACAGGTTCAGGTTTCAGTTCAACTCTTGCAAAATTAAGATTGAACACATTTTTGTGGTTGAGACACCACAGGGAGAAGAGGGGAGTTTAAAGTCTGCAGCTGGTCACCTGCCTCCTAAGGACAGGGGCTTTGCTTGGGCAGGCTGTTGCTCCAAGACTGCTGATTCCTTTGTACATACAACCAGGGGAAGAGGATAAAAGCTTTCCTGTATGGCATTTTCCCTCTAGATACCCAGGAAACACAAGTCAGTATCTATCAGGCAGTACAGCTTTGCTGGGTGATGTAGGAGCAGGTTCTCATGAGGCCCTTGCGCCATATGGACTGGGCAGGAATGCAAGAGCTCGAGTTTTTCCTGTCCTTGTCCCCAAACAGCCCTGTTCAGTCCCTTCCAATTGGCAGAGAGGGAATGAAAAGTCTGCTCTCTCCTCTGGAACTGCTTCAGTACAACTGGATTGTATCTGGGTTACATATATGATCCAGCAGGAGCTCTCAGCTCAGCTGTCACTCAGGGTGCTGAGCTGTGCTCCTGTCTGTGGCAGTTGGCATATGCCCCACCATCTGGCTTGGATGGCATTGTCACTTGGGCAGGTTGTCCCTGCCAGGCAGAGACAGGACTTTGTGCAGGGCTCCTACTGCCAAACGTGATGGTGCTGACTGTGCCAGCAGCCAGAGAGCGCAGTCAAGAGAAAAAAGCTTTCTAAGTTAAAGTGTTCTTCCCATAAATCTACTCCTGTGGCACTGGGATTTGCCTGTGCTTCAGAAGAGGCTGTAGCCAAGTTGCCTCAGCACAGGGAGCTACTGAGCTTTCAGCCTTTGTGCAAATCACTTCTGAAGTGGTATTTACACTGGTGTGCTTTAAGAGGAAAACCCCAGTAGGATTTTTATGCCGTAATTCCCTTCATTTTTATCTGTTAAAAGCCCTCCTAACTGCTCCTTTCATGGCTGACACAAACTGTTGTAGCTTCAGGCTGATTCACGCTGACAAGGCCCCACCAAAGGGATTAAGGGTTAAGTGTGTGAAATGCTCTGGGCTCTGCAGTACAGGCCCTGCAGAAAGGCAAAGCCTGTGCTAAGAGCTGAGGGAGCACAGCCATCTCCAGAGCACACGGCTGATGTGTCTGTGCTCAGCCTGATCCAGGCTCTGGGCTCACAGCTCCTTTTCTGAGCTGTGCTCGAAGGACAGGAGACTGCTCCAGGAGACTGAGCAGGTAAAAACACTTAAGACAGCAACACTCAATGCCTTGGCCTTGAGAACAGAGCCTCAGATTTGCTTTTGTAAGCAAGTCCCTTAAATGAGTATGCTCAGGGAAAAGCGAGTCCCTGGAGCCTGATGCTGGGCCTAGAATTGCTGCTGCCTGCAGAATATTCCCAGCCATGGGAATAGCTGCCTTGACCCTGTGCCTACCTTCTGCCAGTAGCTCCAGTGACTCAGAATTGCAGCCATCAAACTTGAGCAGGTCCACACCCCAGGAAGCAAATGTCTGGGCATCCAGGTCATAGTGGTTGTAGCTGCCAGGGAAGCCAGCACATGTCTTGTTTCCAACATCACTGTAGATTCCCAGCTTCAGACCCTTGGAGTGGACCTGCAGACGGAAACAGACCCTAGCATGGGGCAGCCACAAGGCAGGAGGAAGAGGATTCGGGGCAGCGAGGGAAGCAAAACCCCACAGTGGCAGGCAGCGCCTTATCTCAGCAGTGACACCCACCCAGCCCTCCCCTGCTGCCAGGCCGGGTCACACCGTGCCGCGGTGGCACTCACATAGTCGGCCAGCTTGCGGATCCCCCCGGGGAAGCGCTTGGGGTCCGCCTGCAGCCTGCCCTGCTTGTCCCGCGTCGGGGCCATCCAGCAGTCGTCGATGCAGATGAACTCGTAGCCCGCGTCCCTCCAGCCCTCGGCAGCCATCCTGTCAGCCATCTCCACGAACAGCTGCTCGCTGGCCACGGCACCACCGGCAAAGAAAGCGGAGAAAGTCTGCTGTGTACCACCGGCACAGCCGCGGGGCTGGGCGGCCGGGGGCACCCAGGGGAACGCGGGGAAGGCACAGCGGGGGCCGGAGCACCGGGCCGGCTGCCTGCTAACAGGGAAGGCACAGCGGCTGCCGGGGCACCGGGCCGGCTGCCTGCTAACAGGGAAGGTACAGCGGCTGCCGGGGCACCGGGCCGGCTGTCCGTGACTGCGCTGCCCCGGGCTCCCCGTGCCCCGCGGCGGTACCTGACGCAGCGGCGCGGCTCGGCGGCGCAGTCGGTGGCGCAGAGGAAGCGCTCCCAGTGCAGCCAGCCCATGGGCGGTGTCCGCGCCAGGCCGTTGTCCAGCGCCAGCGCCGCCGCCACCGCGGCCGCCGCCGCCGCGACCCAGCGGAGCATCCACCGTGCGGCCGCCATCGCTCCGCCGCGCCGCGGGACTGCCGCTGATTGACAGCCTGCATGCCCAATCCTCGCGGAGTCGGCGGGCAGGGCTGACCGTGGAGCCAATCGCCGCGCGGCACCGCCCGCCTCTCCGCCAATCCCGTGCGGCAAGGTGCGCACCGGCCCGCCCCCTGCCGCGGGTCAGGTGTGGTGGTGTCACGTGACCGATGTGAGGGGCCATGGCGGCGCCGTTGGGCCGTGCCGGAGCTGCTGCCGGGGGAGCCGTGCCCGGGGCGGCACCGGCCGTGGGCAGCAGGCCCAGCTGGCCGAGAGACCGCTGGCACCTGGCCGGTGCTGCAATAGAGTGGCCAGCAGAGCCAGGACAGTGTTTGTCCCCCTGTGCTGGGCGCTGCTGAGGCCACACCCGTGCCCAGCTCTGGCCCCTCAGCTCATGAAGGACGTGGAGCTGCTGAAGGAATAAAGCTGGGGAAGGGTCTGGAGCACAAATCCCGTGAGGAGAGGCTGAGGGAGGTGTGGGGGCTCAGCCTGGAGGAAAGGAGGCTCAGGGGTGTCCTTATGGCTCTCCACAGCTCCCTGGCAGGAGGGCGGAGCCGGGTGGGGTCAGGCTCCGCTCCCGGGGAACCGGGACAGGATCTCAGGCTGGGCCAGGGGAGGTTCAGGATGCACATCAGGAGTAAATTCTTCACAGAAAGGGTGATTAGACATAGGAATGTGCTGCCCAGCAAAGTGGAGTCACTGTCCCTGGTGGTGTTCAAGGACTGGACACGACAATCAGTGCCATGCTCTGGTTTGCATAGGTTAGACTCAGTCTCAGAGATCTTTTCCAAACCTCAGTGATTCTGTGTGCTCAGCAGTGCTGGGGCTGCCTGAGGGGCTGGGGGCTGCTGTGAGTGCAGGGTGTGGGTCTATGTGTGTTCTGTCAGCACAGAGTCCTGGGGAAGAGAGGATTGCACCCCATGGGCTCAGGACTTGGTTTTGGCCCTGGGCTTTCAGCTCTGCTTCAAAAACTCTGTGAGAAGCTCCTGAATGAGCCCTCCTCCCTGTGCTCTTTGATCAGATCCAGCCTGATTCAGTGTGGATTATGGCCAGGCTGTTTGCTGCCTCTCTGCCTGCTTGTGTTGACTCTGTGCTGTTGGATCCAGCCTGTCTCTGCTTGGGATGCTGGGGCCCATCCAGATCTTTGCACTCAAACTCTCTTCAACAAGTTCAGCCACAAGAATAAGTCATGGTCACTGGGCATCACCCCATTTGCACCAGCTATATGTGGCTGGTTGAGATGAGAATCTCTGGAAAGGGGCAGTGCCGGTGTCAGCAGGACCTGGAGAGCTGTAAAGGGCACCTGTGTGCCAGCCAGCATCTCTGAGCTGAGCCCTGGGTTTAATCCCTGTTTTTGCAGGAGTAGCACAGCCATGAGCAGCCTTGGTAGCACATGTGGCCTGTCAAGGAGACTGGAGGCTCCTGCTGCCAAGGCAGCTGTGGGAAATGTGAGGAGCCAGGTCTGCCCTGTGCCTCTCCCAGGGCTGGACCAGCCCTAGAGCCCCCCTGGAGCTCTTGTGGGTCCCACCAGGGCAGGAGGAGGGGCAGGATGGGAGCAGAGCAGGGCTGTGGCCATCACAGGGCTCAGGGTGCCACCGAGGCAGCTCGCTAGGTGTCCTCCCATCCCTGCTCTGCCACTGCCAGGGAACAAAAGCTCCTCAGAGCCCGCGGGCTGATAATCACTCCTTGTTTCGGTGCTGGGGTCCTCCCCCTGCCCCTCGGGGAGCTGAAGCGCAGAGATCTCTCAAAGTGGGGCAAAACAAGACACTCTGGAGGCTGGAAAACCTCATGGCTTTGTTTTCTCTTGTGCTAAACGATTCTCCAGGGCTGGGCAGTTATTCCCTACTGCCAGAGCTTGGATGCTGCAGGGCTGATCCCTGCTGGTCTCTGTGCTCCAGCATTCCCTCACTGCTGCTTCCCAGGTGTCCTGCCTGTCCCCAGGAGTACCTGGCACCCCCACACCCCCTGGGATAGGGAGCTCCGGGGTGCTGTGTGGGCTGCATGTACTGGCTGGTGTCCCCAGAGTGGGGCAGGCTGGTCCCCAAGCTGTGCTGTGGGTGCTGGTGTGGGTTTGGTGTGATGGTGTTCACAGGGGTCTGAGGATGAGGGAAGAGACAAGGATCTGACTCCATGTTTCAGAAGGCTTGATTAATTATTTTATGATATATATATTATATTAAAACTATACTAAAAGAATAGAAGAAAGGATTTCATCAGAAGGCTAGCTAAGAATAGAAAAGGAATGATAACAAAGGCTTGTGACTGACTGAGACAGTCTGGATAGCTGGACTGTGATTGGCCATTAATTAGAAACAACCACATGAGACCAATCCCAGATGCACCTGTTGCATTCCACAGCAGCAGATAATCAATGTTTACATTTTGTTCCTGAGGCCTCTCAGCTTCTCAGGAGAAAAAATCCTAAGGAAAGGATTTTTCATAAAAGATGTCTGGGACAGTTTGGCAGGGCTGTGGTGCAGCCTCTCAGAGCAGGTGGAGGTGACGGGCTGTGGTGTGATGCCACAGCTTGAGTGGCAGGGGATGCTCTGTTGGGGGGACAGCTCTTGCAGGGCTGGGCTGGGGTGCTGGCACAGCCACACTGCCAGAGCACCCTGCACCTGTGCCAGCAGGCTCCTGTCCCCAGGGAGGGCCTGTTAGGGCCCTGTGCCTGTGGCATGGCCAATCCCAGCAGGGCACAATGCCAGTCCAGCTCCTGGTGCTTTCCTCTTGTGCCCGTTTTCCCACTTGTAAAGGGGCAGCCCTGGCCTGCTCAGGGCTGCCTGGCTGACTTTTGGAGCTTGCTATTTTCTTAAAAAGAGTTCTGTGCTCAGGCCATGTTCAAGGGTTGCTCAGAGCCCCAGAAGAGCTGTCACCTGTTCCTGTGGCATTGCCCTGGCCTTGTGGCTGGGATCAATGTGGGACAGGCTGTGCTGCAGGCACTGCTTTGTGTGCACAGGATGCTTTGGTGAACCTCTGGCACTTGGAGTTGTCCCACAAGAGCTCCAGGCTGTGGAAGGGGGCAGAGGCCCTGGTGAGGGAGAGGGGGGAGAAGGGAAGGTTTGACCCCCTGATGCTGCCAGGGACAGCAGCAGAGCTCAGTGCCAGCAGGGTCAGGCTGTCTGTGGTCGTGGGGCAGGGGCCAGGCTGGCATGTCACTGCAGTGCCCAGCCAAAGGCACATTTCCTTGGCCCCACACGGGCCCCCAAGGAGCCCTTGGGGCTGGCAAGGGGCCATGCTGTCCCCAACCTGTGTGTGCTCCTGGCCCTGCTGCAAGGAGGAGCTGGGAAGCTGCCAGTGCTGCTGATGCTCATTTTACTGTCTGGGAGTTCCATTAACCTGGTGTTAACTTCATTAACTTCCTTTTAAACCAGCAATTAACTTGGCCATGGCTGTTGGTCCTGTGCCCACAGCTGCTGTCTGTGGTGACTGGCATGTACCCACCAATGCACAGCCTTGAACAGGAAATAAAAAACTGATTCTGTCCAAAGACTGTGGCTTTGCTGAGGGGCTGAGCCACCTGGGCTGGTCCCTGGCCATGCTGTGAGAGGATATGGGGCTCAGAACCCCCATCCCAAGATGTCAGGGACCCACTGGAGCTTTGTGCTGGAGGGCACTGGCAGCCTTGAAGCTGTGAGGGTGTCCCAGTGACTCCCAGTTCAAACTGGGCTGCTGGGAGCAGCAAGGGCAGAGCCTGAGTGCTGCTCCTGACTCTGAAACTGCCCCCAGGGACACTGAACCACAAACACCTGCAGAGCCATGGGGTGGTGCTACCCTTATGCCTTTCCAAGTGTGATGCCAGAAATGAGCTCCCCACCTTGCTGTGAGCAGTGCCTGGGACCTGGGGGCTTTGGCTTGGGAGGGATGTGTTGGGTTTTTACAGTTTTCTTTTCTTTTGTGATGTGCTGGTTCCTGGAGCTGAATGGCTCAGGGCTGACTGCAGTGTTTGTCTGAGTGCCCAGATGTGATGTCCTGACTCCAGAGCAGGCAGTGAAGGAACTGGGGACACCTTACTGGTGTGAAATACCTCACAGGTCTCCCCTTGGCTGTGTCCTCTCTCAGTTTGGGGTGGGGACAGCAGCAAGACCCTGGGGAAGCTTCATTTGTTCCACCTAAAGAACAACCCCAGCCCCAAAGCAGTGTGGGTGCCTCTTGCTTTCTCTCCTCCCTGCCCCAGAAGGGCGATGGGGCTGCGAGGTACCAACAGAGCTGCTCTGTGAGACTTGGCCGGGAGCACAGAGGGAGATTGATGTTTGCTCGGGCGCTCAGCCCTCAGCTGCGGGCTCTGCCCACCCCTGCACCAGCTGGGGACAAAAGCCCCGGCCCCGGGTGGCACTGCAGGGCTGGCGTAAGCCCCCCAGGACAGCTGGCAGCTCTGTAAGCTTGGCTCCTGCCCAGGGAGCTGAGTGAAGGGGCTGAGGGGCCACGCAGGGAGGTTTGCCCTGGGGATGCTGCACATGCTCGGGTGTCTGAGCTCCACTGCAGAGATGGAACCCCCCCAGCTCCGCCTCATCTTGGGTCCTGTCCCCTGGCCAAGCCTGGGTGGGTGAAAAGGGCTGGGGTGACTGTGGGGAGCACCCCACAGAGCTGGGTGGGGACAGAAAGTGATGAAGTTTGGGGCTGAGGGCTTGCAGGGGGCTCCTGCCCAGCCCTCCTGGCATCTCCCATGTGGGAGTTAAATGTGACAGTCATCAGTTGTGGCAGAAAAATCACCCGTGGAGAGTAATGATGGTATAATGATGGGTCAGGGCTCCTGTCCCCACAGGGCATTGTGCCCTTGTCCCCTCCCCACGCTGTGAGTGGGAGCTGGCTGCAGTGTTCTTGGCAGAGACAAATCCCCAGCACACAGTGCCGAAAATCCCAGAAAGCTTTATTTGCGTAGGAAGATCAATGCTGTTTAAAAACCCACCACTGCAGGAGGCTGGCATGGCCACCCAGTGCCTGTGGGTGCTGCTCAGACACTGGTACCTCCCTGACTGGCA